CCCCGTAAACGACATCGCATTAATGGGTTAGACAATGTATTTTTTGGATGCACCCCTGCTTAGGCACTGCTGACTTGACTTCGACTTCACACACCACAACAAAGATCAATGAATAAAATAATTCTGTTATGCATGGCACACTATCCCAGTAGGCCAAAGTGCTCATTTTAAGGCTATGGACTAACGCCTGAATTTACCTCCCATTCATTTAACAGCCCAATAGAATTGTGAGCCCGACTTCATGTCAACTTGCAGACACACACCACAACAAAGATCACTGTATAAAATAATTCTGTTATGCATGGTGCACTATCCTGCTCAAGGCCTATGTCCAAAATAACAAAGGCCGCCAACGTCACAACTCGGCAGATTCATATTTTTCATTTCACTTTCATATATGGTTTTCGAAGGCCGTCAACGTCGCAACTTGGCAGATTCAAATCTTTCATTTCACTTTCATAAATGGTTTTCGAAGCCCATCTTTTCTCAAAAATATGTCAAGTTCACGAATTTCACCAGCGTCATCTCATATAACTTGACATAGGACAGATTCAACATTTCATTTCGCTTTCATATCACACTTTTTGAACCTCGGCTCTTTGGCAAACCTTCAATTACATGTTGCGAGAAGAATGATTCAGGCACTTCGGGCTGATATTGTGAGCCAAGACTTCCTAACTTGGAGTCTGTATTCTCACAAGTTCCTAGTGCGCAAAGTGAGCCAAAGTTGGGCTGATTAATTGCTGAAATTATGACAGATGGAAATACAGAGACCCATTTTCTGGACGCCATATTTAAGAAATGGCTGAACTCGCAAAGCAACTCTCAGCAGCACACTCCCTTCTAGTTCATAATGTCTAGTTCCCGACGACGGCAACAACCCGAGCCTGCTGAACCCCCAGCAAACCCATCTGCACCTGTCACCACACGAAGGTCTACCACATCTGAGTCTACTGTGACACGGGGTAATGTGCCTCCTACCAATCCTTTGACCGGTACATTTGCTTCTTTTTTTTCTAAAATATTAAGACTGCCCAACAGGCACAAATCAACCACCGCGTACACCACTTCCAGCTCGGCAGAATCTATCCAGTATTCCCGAGGTTGTGGGTGGCTTTCCTTCCATTGGCTTGACGCTCCCATACAAGGTTGATACTGACTTTCTAACTTCTAGGTGTCACCCATTTTACGAACTCCAGCTGCCGCTGTCCCGACCCAGGGCTCCAGTCATCGTACAATAGCACCCATTCTGCCCCAGACACCAGCTCGGCGTGCTGCAGCTCAGATAGCTGTTCAACTTGACTCAAATATCGCGATGGCAACTCCCGGGCCGGTAGAACGGTGCTGGCAGGATACTCAAGAATCAGATCCATCCGATGGTGGGGGCAATGAACCGGAGGACTCCACAGATGAGTTTCCTGTTCAATTAGTTAGGCATCGACGCAGAACTGCTGATGGAACCGCTCGACAGGCACAAATTTTCAGTCTAAACTCTGATGATTCTGAGCCCGAGGAGCTGGAACCTGATGCGTTGGTCGGTGCTCAGAGGGGTAGACGAGCTCGGGGACAGGGCGGTGGAGCACACCGTTCAGCTCCTGCTCTGCGTGGCCGAGCTTCTCGTGGCCGTGGTCGCGCGACCGGCAGAGCCCAGCCCGACGACAATGAGTTGGATGTTGAGCTCGGTCCTCATCCTCTGCGTGGGCAGCCAGCTGTGGCAGGTGGCCCACCCACTGGTTATACTGTCGACGAGAACGGATTTGCCTGGGCAGATGATTCGGTATTGTCCGGGACGAGCCGAGCTCCGGATGCAAATTTTTTTTTGGGTTGCATTTGGAATCAGGTTCCCAGAAGTGCCGTTTATGCAGGTGCGTACTACTATTTTGCTGATATTTCTTTTAATAATTGACTGAAAATCGTTGAACTCAGTGTGGTATATGCCAAATCAAGCAGCCTCACCACTAAACGAGCGCACCTTGAGAAAAAGCACGCACCAGAATATCTTGCTGAGATCCAGAGGCGTGGATGGGAGAACAAGATGCCTTCTGCCTCGCTTGAAAAATTGAAACAATCTCGGATGCTCGCAGCACAACGGATTCCTTTTTCGACTAAAGATCTCGCCAAAATGATTGTAAAACTCATTGTCGCACAGGATCTGGTGTGTTTCTATCCTTGTCTGTCTAAACTACAAATTCATTTATATCTGTATACAGTCACTTAATCTCATTGAAAGCCGGGAGTTCCGTGATCTACTTCTCTTTTTACGTGAAACACTCAATGATCAAGATATTCCCCACCGAACCAAGCTCCGCTCTCTCATCATTGAAGAGTGGGTTGAGTACTGGGATGACCTAAAAACCGAACTGAAGGTGCATATCTTTGCTATACATTTACATCTTCAAACCTCACTTCATTTTCTCCCAGTCTGCACTCGGTCGGTTGTCTTTCACTGCGGACATGTGGAGCAGTCTTGGAATGCACCCGTACCTCGCAATCACCGTGCACTGGTTGAGTTGTCGGCCAGATACTTGTCATGTGGTCCTTCGACAGGATCTCCTTGCATTTCGCCGTGTTCGAGGGGCACATAGCGGTGCACGAATCTCACGAATCGTGATGGGAATCCTGGATGCAGCTGAAATCGTTGACAAGGTATTTTTTAAAAGTTTTTCTTCCTCGCGAAGAGTCCCCATTCAAGTACAGCAACAGGTCGGCCCATTCACGATGGATAATGCATCAGTTAATCCGACTTTCATGACCCATCTCCAACTTGCACTCGAGACCCACGGTCATCCTGACTTTGATGCGACACGCGACTTTGTTCGATGTTTTTCACACATTATCAATCTGTGCTCTCAGGCTGTGATCAAGAAAATGGAGGATGACGATGCACAGGGGGAACATCCTGAAACGGACACTGAGCCGGCGACTGCTACGGATGATGACGAGGACGAGGATGCTGGGCTCTTAGCTCCCCGCACAACTCGTTACACACGAAAGACTGGGCCGATTTATCGAGCACGGAGGATGGTGGGCTTTATCCGAAAATCCGGTCAGCGTCGTGACCAGCTCTTGAATATTATCAAGGAGGGGAATGATCAACAGCTGTGGACAGAGACAGTGGAACGTGATGGTCGGACTGAGCAAGTTGTTGTTCAACTCAAACCTCTCATGGTTTTGCCGGATGTCAAGACACGATGGGATTCAGTTTTTTACATACTTCGTCGTCTACGTTATCTGTGTCAGGTGAGCCAATTTCTTTCCGCCTTGCCCATGTGACCTCTTACATGTTCAAACTCCCTCAGCCCATTCAGGAATTCTTTTCTGTCAATCGGGATGCGCGGGCTATGCGAAATCAACTCACGTCGGAACATTGGGACCTGTTGGAATTGATGGAGTTGATTTTGCAGGTACGACGAAATTTCAGTATGTTTATGATTACTTAGTTGCATCAACAGCAACCGCACAACGTACAGAGTCGCTTGGCAGCTGACAACACACCCATGCTTGCCTCAATTATTCCCATCTTTGAACTTTTCACGCAGGCTTGGAAGTCCATGAAAGCAGATCCTGTCTTGCATACTCAAAACATCTCCCATTTCATTGATGCTGGTCTCCAGATCGCGCAGAAGTATTATCAGAAGTTGAGAAAGAACCATACTTATGTCATTGCAATGTGTACGGGCTATGTTGTTCCTTTTCTCATCCTTTCATTCACCTCCCACCAGTCATCAGCCCATGCATCCGCTTTGAATGGATCCGAAAGAATTGGACTGCAGCTGAGCAGAAAGTTGCAAAGGATATCATTCTTCAAAAGGTCTGCGTCTTGATGATTCTCCGCACTTAGTCCATCCTGAAATGAATACGTTCAGCTGCAGTCCTATCAAATCCAAACAACAAACCCGGATCCGCAAGTGTCCGGTTCTGGTTCTTCGAGTCCGCCTGATGGCGCATCACGTTCTCAATCTGGCTCTCGCAGCTCATCCCAGACACGTCCTGCTGTTGCAACATCGACCCTACTTTCGACCAGGCTGAAGCAGTTTCGTGACACCACACGAACCTTGGATTTCTCTGCCGATTCAGATCGTTCAAATAGTACAGAGTGGTCAGCCAAAGCTGAGATGACACATTACATGGACAGTAAGATCCCCTCGCCCATGTCAACTGAGATGATTAGCTACTGAACAGTAAGTGCGCATCTAGTCTCTTAATGACCATTCTCATTCCATTCTTAAGACAACCGGGGCTACGACGTGGAGCCGGATCTATCGGCTATTCCTGGACTATGCATCAGTACAAGCGACATCAGTCCCGTCCGAGCGTGTATTCTCTTCATCTGCCGAAACCGACACTAAGCGACGCAACCGCTTAAGTCCAGCTTTGATGGAGGCGTTGCAAATGCTCAAGTTCAACTTCAAAAAGACCCGACTTAATTTCATGACGGAATTTCAGTCAGTTCCGGATTTGGATGGTGATGAAGACTGGTTGCGTCAACTGGCTGGGGAAGCGGATGAGGACAGTCAAAGGAAGGTTACGAGGGAGATTTTTGATGATTCAGAGCTGCGGGATGTCTCATATTTTGATATGTCTGAGGGCAATTAGCACGAAATGTTGTATTTATGCGAATTTGGAATATATGGCACTCAATACTGGTTACGACCCTACTTCAGAGTACTGTAGCGACAAGAATTTGAATTTGAATTTGAATTTGAAAAAAAAAAAAAAAAAAAAAAAATCGACTTAGTCGGCTCAAGTCGACTTCGAGCCACTTGCAAGTCTGAGTCAGCATGAAGTCGAGTCGAGTCGAGTTGCATCAAAGACTTTTGCGACTCAGACTTCATTCGACTCGACTTTCCGAGTCGTGACAACATTACTCAAAACATGGATGTAGACGACACATACCTTCAGAATGAGGTACGAGTCTGAATGGTTCTCCCATATTCGGGTCTTGACGAAGCTCAATTAATTTGACCCACATAAAGACGTGGAGGAACTCCTGGTATACCGGCTCTATGGCGTAATGGTTACGCACATTTCGTATACAAAGGCGGTGCATAGGCTCTCGTGTGGCTCACTGGGCCTCCGGTTCGATTCCGGACGGGGTCGGTTTCATTTTTCGTCTTTTTACTCGTCTTTTTACTCGTCTTTTTACTCGTCTCATTGGAACCGATGAATGTTGAAAACAGTTGCTGAGATTAATTTAATTTACTTTTGCTGTTCCCGACCCTATAGCATCAAACAATTAGCCTGTAAAATGAAACGACGGCCTAGGATTGTAAATATTTTCAAGGCACCCAGAAGATATCCCTCAAGTGAGGCTGTTTTTCGACAAGCTTGGCCGTTGTCTCTGTACCGATGATATTTCTTGCAATGACAATAAAAATGTTGTCGATACCTCCTCGAGGTAGAAAACACACCATCCATCCTCAGAATAGCGTTCTGAGTGGGCTACTCACTGCTCAGTATTCAAAGTCACCTCTAGCTTTCTCGAGACTACCGTGATACCAGCTCCGAGGATAAAATGTTGGTATCCTCCCGGCCTGTCTATGCTGACGGCCGCGCCCGCGGCCGACCTTCCAATTATAATTACCCGACTTGACGACAAAATAATACGTCAGGCAATTATTCATATCGGGCCTTCCAAAAATCTACATAAAGCACGGATCCCTTCGGACCCAATTCCCCGTTCGTTATGGCCGTCGAAAGTAATGTTTTGAAGGCTGTCGCCGTATACTGTGCGTCAACTCTCGGAAAACAACCCGCGTATCTCTGCGCGGCCGCTTGTAAGATGGCTCGTACCTTCATCACCCTTTCGACTCATTGCTCCGCTCTTAGCCCTGGGAGCAGCAATTGCAAAGGCAGAACGTTCATTGGTGTATGGCGGCGGGACAAAGGGACTAATGGGTGTGGTAGCCGGCGCAGTTCTCAACGGAGGAGGCAGTGTGACTGGCATCGTGCCTTTTGCTATATCGAGAGCGGGCGGCGAAGGAGGCGAAGGGAAGCCCAGCGCCCCTGGCGTGGAGGGTGCCCTGCACCACAACTCTCGGCGCGTGGAAACGGTAGGTGCCATCATACCGGTCTCCCGCCTCAATCCTAATTTCGGTCCATGCAGATTATTGTCAACACCATGAACGAACGGAAAACGGAGATGGCCAAGCGTGTTGACGGATTCTTCGGATTGCCCGGTGGCTTCGGGACCTTGGATGAGGTTTGCGTTCGCTTGAAGCAGTTTTATGTCGTCGCTCAGATATTCACAGATTTTGGAAGTAATTACCTGGACACAGATCGGCTTCCACACCAAACGTACGTACTTTGTGATTGATGAAAGGCCCGTCCTAAATTCTTACTGAACAGCCATAATTCTCCTGAATGTCCTATCCTACTTCGAACCTTTACGGCAACTCATTCGCACTGGGATTGAGGAGGGATTTATCCCTGCACATAATGAGAGTTTTGTGATCTTCGTCAATGGACCAGACGCACATCATGAACATGAAACCTTTGACTGGGGTGCGGCAGGTCTCTCCGCGTTGGACAGTTGGGATAGGGCAGCAGTCAAGGCGCTGTACGCATGGACAGACATGTCCCAGAGTTAGATACGGGAGAATGTAGTAGTAAATTATACAGTGTCCATAATCATCGGCTCACAGTCGAGCGCTGAGTTGAACTGAAACACCGATGTGAACTAACAAGGATGATCCGGGGATCCGTTGAAAACCGATTGCAATTTTACAGTGCGTACTTCAGGCTATTGAACTTGTATCAGAAGTGGAATAAAAATATTCGTGAACGAAGCAGGTGAGGAAATCAGAGGAGACCGACGAATGCTGGGTAAAGGACGATTTAAAGCAATGAGAAACCGATGGAGTAAGAGGGTCGTTCAGGCCGTAGCTGGCAAGAGAGACTCCATGATTCGGCGCGTCTCTGGATAAAATCATCAACCAATCGAGTCGTAAGAGGAGACGAAACAAACCATGACACGCTTCCTTCACTTGCGCCATACCCGCGATCTGCTGCTTCTCTGTCGCCACGCTTAACGCGTCGTTTGCTGCCCGCTGCTTCTTTGCGATTTCCTGGTAACAGATATCAAAGCGATCAGTCGGTGTCGGAGAACATGGAAGGAAATTTGCGAGAGGAACGCACGACGAGCGTCTGCTCCTCCTTCTTGATCTCCATCCACAGCGCGCGGATCGCGTCCTCCGAGGCGGCGTAGTCGAGGATGAACTTAGCGTACACATTTTCCCTGCCCATAGATAAATAATCGCACCAGAAGCAGAAAGGAATGAAAAGTGGCCGTGGGACGTACGTCGCATCAACCGCGCACTTCACTTCGTCCGCGGCTGCAGATATCTTGAAACGCGAGTAAGAGTTTAGTCGCAGATATGGTGAGCAAGATGCGACTCATACCTCGGACGAGAGCTTATTCTTCGCCGCCTGGAAAAACTTCTTCTCCAGCTCCTTGCGCTTCTTTTCCTTGGACGCTAGCTGGGGTGAGCTGGCTATTCTCATTGCGCGCCGGTAGAACAAAAAAGATTCACCCATAAGCTGCTGCGCGACAGCGAGTTGTAGACTATTGACGCCCTAGTAAGGATTAAGATGAAGCGCCAGAGAAAACTTGACTGACGCGTGGTCATCGCTGCCTGTCGACTGTTGGGACGCGAGGAAGTCGAATTCTTCTACTGGTGCCGCTGATTCAGCCTTGCGAGGTTTTCCGAGGGTGCGACGTTGAGCCATGGCTGGAGGGATTCAGGAACAAGAGGAAATGGGCTCACGTGCTGGCCGTGATATCTTGACGGACGTATGTAATGCTATCATTGAGAGGGAAGCCGACGCGCATCCACCAGATATAAGCAGTACCCAGCCCACAGTTGAATATTTTGTTCAAGGCCTCCGGAATCTGCCAGATGCCAACTGGACGAGCACAAATCGTAAATTATAACATATATTTGTCCAATGGCAGAGAGTAATTCACAATGTCATGGTTGAATATTGAAGCTGCAGGTTGTCTCTCCCAGCCAGACCCATAAGATTTACAACACAAATGGTTGCTGAAATTTAGCGAAACGCGTCGCAACGTTCCGGGTAACGTGACCGTGACGGACCCCCTCTTTCTTCGTGCCACCATCTGTGCCACTTGAGAAAATCCCTCGTCTCTCAGTTATTCACCCGAAATTTGTTCCCAAAGTGAGTCATGTTCGTCGTTGTTCTTGCAACGAATCCAATGAGCGTTACACAGGATGAGATCTGGAGACCCAAGCACGCGTGCCCTACGCGACCGCCTGGCAGAACTGGATGCACAGATTCCTACCTTGGAAGCAGAGAGAATAAAAATTCGAAGGAAATTGCGGACCCTCAAGTTCCCAGTGCTCACCCTACCCGTGGAAGTGACATCCGAGATCTTCATTCACAGCCTCCCTTCCGTTGAAGAGTTCGATATCGAATACGGCTGGATGGAACCCAGCTTAATGGATGCTCCTCTTATCTTTCTCCAAATCTGTCGGTCCTGGAGAAATATTGCGCTCGGGACACCGAGACTGTGGGCCATGATTAAGGTCGCGAACGACTTTTTCGCTCGACACATGTATCGATACTCTGAAGGTGATCCGAAAAGATCTACTAGTAGAGAGCTCATCTACGCGATGCTTGCGCAATGGATTAATCGAGCGGGGGTCACACCGCTGACCCTGACATTACGCCGAAACGCAGACTCTGACAGCGACCCCGACCCCGAATTATTCATCCAAATTTTGCGCCTGGCGCCTCAATGGCAAGATGTGACCCTCTACTTCACCAGAGAGAAACTGGCCCACCAAATATTCCACAAGAACCTCCGTCCACATTTTCCCAACCTTTGGCGTCTCCGCCTCCGTGGTTGGGACTCCTCGATCTACGAAAAAGAGTACGAAAAGCACAAAAGCGTCCCGATCACGGCGTTTGAAGTCGCCCCGAATCTCCGGGTGGTCGAACTGACCAAATTGGCGCCATCCCTCCTTTATCTCCCTTGGGAGCAATTGACGCGGTTCTCTGCAGACGGTGGCCTATCGCCCAGAGATTGCCTAGAGATATTATACACGGCCTCGTCCCTCATCGAGTGTGTCTTCAAGTCAGTTGCTGACGCGACAGATGACAAAAGGTCCACTCCCCTCCATTTACCTCCAGCTCATGTGCATCCGAATCTACAGTCCCTGACATTGTCCGGGGATTTCAGCTTGTGCGAAGACATTCTGTCACATCTCACCTTGCCTGCGCTCACGGCATTGGGTGTCTGGATCGACGACGACGAGGCCGAAGAAGTCGCAGATTTTCTGTCCCGCTCGGGGGTCATGCTTCAACGGCTCGATGTGCATTTCGGATATGACTCCTTTCTCACTGTACTCCCGTTCTTGGCTGCTCTCACTGAGCTCTCGTTCTCAAACATGCACCCCGAAGGCATTATGAACTTTATGTGTTCCCTGTGCGACTCCGATACATTCCTTCCTCATCTTCGAGCTCTCAATATCACTGTCTGGACTTACTCCCTGGAAGAGGAATGGATGGACTGCGAAACCCTCGCGGATGCCCTTTGGAAGAGGTGGACAGCGGATGGTGCGCAGAGCAGCGTGTCGCGCCTCGAGTCGTTTCACATGGTCTGGATACCGACGCCAGGCCTTTACGGCGAAGATTTGAGGAGGGATAGTTGCTGGAAGTTCAAAGAGGACAGCCTTCGCGGGAAGCTTGCCAATTTCGGGACGCTTGACCGTTTGCTTGACCTGGTCGACGAGGGAATGCGTCTTTATCTAGGAACACCTCACGAACAATGGGTAACGCACTGCCCAAGTAATGTAAAGAAGTGATGACAGAGGTATCTGTTGAGGTGATCACCGGCCGGACTTTCCGAGTACTTAGACGTTGTTTTGCCGTAATATATAGGAGTTTTCGGCTGCTTGTTTCATACCACGACGGTGCGCTGGGGCTTCGACTTCAACAGTATCGATCGGCGACCTGGGAACTGATCAATGCGGACACGATGTCAAGTAATTAAACGCTCGCCAGTATCGCCTGTAATTGACAAAGTTGAATTCATATGCGGGCAAAAGGAAAAAGAAAATTGAACAGATCAGAATCTG